CATACATACATATGTATAAATTCTCATTATTTTTTAAATATATATATAATAATGAATATGAATGCTGCTGTCTCGTACTTGTCTTCTAATTCCTGTAAAAACGCGTCAAATTTAGGTTTGTGCGGCCTACGGTAAGACTTACCACAATATTCCGGTACGGAAGGTGTAAAGGTGGCAAAAGTGGGGCTGAAGATAAACACTTCCACAAGCCCAGAGGAAATTCAAGGACAGCCTTCCCCCCCTTTGCACTCCATAGAGCAGATTACAACAACCCCCCCAAAAAACAACAACAACAACAAACAAACAAAAAAACCAAAAAAAAACAAACAGAAACAAAAAATGAGCAGACAAACACCCTCACCACCACCACCACCAACAACAACAGAACCATCAACAACAACCACAAGAGCAACAACATCAACAATATGTTCTCTCTCCCCCCCCCCTCTCTCTCTATCTGTCTCTCTCTCTCTCCCTCTCTCTCTCACGCTCTCTCTTTCTCCCTCACTTACTCTCTCACTCATTCACTCCCTCTCTCTCCTTGCTCGACCTCTCTCCCTTTTTTTCCTGTCTCCGTACGTAATGATAACTCAATGGCTTTCTTTCAAGCTTGCTTCTTGAATTTTCCTGGTCTCGCACAAAAAACCCGATAACAACAATAAAAAACAAAAACGCATAAAAACAACTTGTTTTGAAAAAACGTTGTAGTGGAACGGATCGCGTGCAAATACTCATAAGGGTCCTTCTATAAAAAAGGAAAAAAAAAAAAAGAAAAAAAAGAAACCCAAAAACACGCAACGTGGAGATGATAACTTGCTGACAAAAAATTCTAAACAGTGATAGAGACGATGTATAAATTCTCAATTTTTTAAATGTGTTTTGTTAGGGGAAGGTGAACTCTTACAAATAGCATAAAAGATAAGGACGGTGATAATAAGGTAATATATGTTTAAAGTAATCATGATGATGATGATGACTTTTGTGTGTCCTCTCCAGGATGATGATGATGATGATGATGATGATGATGATGATGATGATGATGATGATGATGATGATGATGATGATGATGATGATGATGATGATTGTGATGATGATGATGATGATAACAAAGGATGGCCCGTCACTACTTATTGGGATTTTTGTTTTTTCAGTAGGCATCATCTGTGGTTTCGGCCGAAATAAACAACAACAAAAAAGCAATGCCCCCGCCCCCCCCCCCAAAAAAAAAATAAATAAAAAAATAAAAAAATAAATAAATAAAAATAAAAAGTAAAATACCCCTCCCCTACAAAAACGAATAAACAAGCAAACAAATAAACAAACAAAAAGCACGAAATCAACCAACCAAACAACCAACCAACCAACCAACCAACCAAACAACCAACCAACCAACCAACCAAGCAAACAGTCAAACGACCTAACAAAAAACTAAACAATCACAAACAAACAAACAAGCTAGCACAAAACAAACACCAAAAACACTCACACAAAAAACGTCCAAAACAAACAAACAAACAAACACAGGAAACTGACCTCTGTATTATCTTCCCGCCAGGACGCTGACATGTTCTGGGACTTCATCTCCCTCCGGCCGGAGACAACCCACCAGGTGTCCTTCCTCTTCTCTGACCGCGGCACCCCGGACGGCTACAGGCACATGAACGGCTACGGGAGCCACACCTTCAAAATGGTAAACGCCGGAGGCGACGGCTACTACTGTAAATTCCACTTCAAGGTAAGCAACAACACTGCTGTGTGGATAATAAATACCAGTTTATACATTCCGTCTAGTCTGAACAACCCCCTACAAAAAAAGCAAAAAAACCCCAACCAAACCCACCAACAAAACAACTCAAAACAAAACAACCCCGCACATGGGCAAACAAACAAACAAATAAACAAATAACGGAAAGCCCCCAAAAGCCCCCCCCCCCC